GTCGCTACAAGCATGCTTAGTGTGGGGGATTGTATTTGAGTCAATGAGTCAATGCAATCAACTGGTTTTCCTTAGATAGAAAACTTTGTATCAATTTGACTGTATGATCTGGTTGAACTGTAAAGTGCCTTGAGATGACATGTGTTGTGAATTTGGCGCTATATAAATAAACTGAATTGAATTGAATTGAATTCTTTCGAAACTTGTTTTTCAGAGCAAATGCATTTGACAGATCAGCTAGTCTAGTTTAAACACTCGCTGTTAACGCTCACATTGAATTCGTAAAAAAAATAAAAGTTAGTTAAAAAAAAATACACATGTATATGTATATATATATATATATATATATATATATATATATATATATATATATATATATATATATGCATACATACATATATACACACACACACACACACACACACACACACACACACACTGCAAAAAAAAAAAAAAAAAAAAAGCTAAAACTTGAATCAAATCAAACTTCTGTGGAATCAAACTGTCCAGCAACACTAAGTGACAATTATTTTCAAAGGCTGTTGTGCAAATGGAAAAGACAACAGGTGGAAATTATTAGCAATTAGCAAAATACACTCAAAGGAGTGGTTCTGTGGGTGGGGACCACAGAACACGTCTCAGGACCTATGCTTTCTGGCGGATGTTTTGGTCACCATTGAAAGCTGGTGGTGCTTTCACACTTGTGGCAGCATGAGGGGTGATTCTACAAGCGACACAAGTGGCTCAGGTAGTGCAGTTTATCCAGAATGTGAAATATTTGTGCAAGGAGAAAAAGAAGGAGCACTGCCAGAGGCATGCAAAATTACCTCCAAGCAGGCCACAAATATGGATGTGTCTGCACAAATAGTTAGAAACCGACTCCATGAGAAAGGTATGAGGGCCCAGCGTCCACAGATGGGGATGGTGCTCACAGGCCAACACTGTACAGGATGCTAGGCATTTGACAGAAAACAGCAGGATTGGCAAAATTGTCATTGGCTTCCTGTGCTGTCCACAGATGAAAGCAGGCTCACACTGAGCATGTGAGTCTGGAGAAACAACGGAGAATAATCTGTTGTCTGCGGGTCAGTAATGGCGTGGGGTGGTATTTCGTTGGAAGGCGGCACAGCCCTCGATATGCCAGAGGTAGCACGATTGCCTTTATGTAGCTAGATGAGATCCTCAGACCCCTTTTGAGACCGTATGCTGGTGAGGTTGACCCTGGCTCGCCTAAAGGCCAATTTATGCTTCTGACTCATAGCCTCTGCAACCACCAAATCTGTCTCTGTGCGCGACCACACCCCCCACACAGAGGTTCTGCAACCGTCCTCGCGCACCTCAAAAAAATCCTGACTATGCGTTGGACGATTGCAAACCTGCGCAGACCTCAAGTGGAAGTGCGCAGACAAAACGCAGCTGTGATTATTCCTTGGTGTGCCTTTTCAGGGGCCCGGGTGGTCTTCCTTCTCGATTCAGTGCTGGGGGGTGCCATTTTTAAAAACCGAGGAACAACTACAATGGAAAACCTACGACGAAAGGTTAATTGGTCTTTTTGCCAACTCCATTAACAGAACCTGTTCCTCTTCGATATCAGGCAATTCTAGATCCATCTCCGTGATATCTTGCAGACGCGCCATGGTTGTTTTGGAAGATAAAAACTCCCGCCGGCGCCGTCCAAGTTCTTGTGAGTTCTCGAATAGGCTCCCCCTTGCGCTTTGGCGGGAAACTGCTGTAAGTCCCTAGAAAGTCCAGACCGACGGTCAGAAACATTCTAGCAAAGCTGGTTCGTGACCAGAACCAAGCAACATTTGATGTGTGCTGTTGCAGAAGTATAATCTGCCCTTTAGGCAGGAAAATGCTAGACCTCATGTCTGGAAAGAGTGTCAGCAGTTCTTGCAAAATGAAGGCATGGACTGGCCTACCCAATCCCACCAGACCTTAAACCGGATGTGCACATCACATTGCACCACAGACTGCCTAGGAGTTGGTGGATACTTTAGTCCAGGTCTGGGAGGAGATCCCTTAGGAAAGCATTTTTCAACCAGGGTCCTCAAGGCACACTACCGTGCATGGTTTAGGTGTTCCCCTGCTTCAACACTCCTGATTCAGATGACTGGAGTTCAGAACACCCTGTTAATCTGCTAGCCTGGAAACTTTCAAGACATGCAAGGCAGTGTTCCTTGATGACCAGGGTTGAAAAAACACTGCCTTGGGAGAGAATCCACCACCTTATTAGGAGCATGCCCAGGCGTAGGGAGGTCATGCAGGCACGTGGAGGCCCCACACAATACTGAGCCTTACTTTGACCCTTTCTAAAAACATTACATCAAAGTTGGATCAAACTGTAGTTCGTTTTTCCACAATAATTTAGAGTGTGACTCAAAATCCAGGCCTCTTTTGGTTAATACATTTGATTTTCATATATTTGTGTTATGTCCTCAGCACACTTTGTACAGAACAAAGAAATGAGAATATTTTTGTCATTCCGAATTAGGATATGTTATTTGAGTGTTCCCTTTATTTTTTGGAGCAGTGTGTGTATATATATATATATTTGGTAAAAATAAAAGAATACATTTGGGGGAAAAAGAAAGCAAAGTTACACTTTGGGGCTGTTTGACAGGGTTCCTACAGCATAAGGCAAGTTAAATTCAAGATTTTTTAAGACTTTTTAATGCCACTTGAAATAAAAAATTAAGACCAAATTCACAAGAAACACAAGAAAAATCTGCTTGCAACAACTTAACCCAAAGGTTTATTTTAACATAAACCACTGCACTAATGTTTCAAATTTTTAAAAGCTTCCCATACAGAAAAAGAAAGCTAAAAACACACAAATGACAGATATATTTTAACAATTATTTAACTGAATTTGCAAACTTTGTTTTAGCAGGGAACAAACCAAATCAGTTTTAAAGCCACAACATAACCAGTGCTAAGTCTTTTTTGCAGCCATTTTTCTTTGTATCGTTTTCTTAGTATGTTTGATTTGGTGATAAGTGGAGGCATTGCAGAGACAAGGGTGGAACCAAACAGAGAACTACTGGCTGTTTCTCCGTAATTCGATTTTGACGCTTTGTGTTTCGTGCTTCGCATGTGCAACTCCACTGCCTTAATTCCCATCGTTCCGAGGTTCAATCGCTTCTTGCACAAAATAAACCGTGCCTCATGTATGTTCCCTGGTACTGGTTTTAGCCATGGAGAAAACTGTTGGCTGGAGCCAATTTACAATTGCTCATATTTTTCAGACAAAAAGTTAATGGCACATCTCCCAAATGTCCTGGCCGTAACAAAGCTTTTATTGGTTCAGCTTTCGGGACAGAACCAATAATGGCGAGCGGATATTTTTTTTAATAAAAAAAAAAGGTCAATTTTAATGTTTTATTTAGATTACAAAAATAAATCATAATATAAATAATACTTTTCATGAGGTTTTAAAAATTAAGACCTACGAAAGACTGATTTAAGAAATTTTAATACCTATTAAGGCCTTAGTTTTATTTTGAAGAATTCAATGCCTTTTAAGACTTTTTAAGGACCCGCGGGAACCCTGGGTTGACCATTGATGTCCTCTGGAAACATTTCTTTATATCCTTAAAATGATAGTGGCACAAACGAACATTTTTGCTGCACAACTAAGCTCAAATGTAGCACAAAGGTTTGACACCAATTTTGGCTGTATTCACACTGCAGGCCTTGATGCTCAATACCGATTTAGTGAAATCCAAGTTTTTTGCTCTGCCGTTGACATTTCCAAATATATGTGACCTGTATGTGATCTTCTGTGTAAACTGCATTCACACAGCTCATGTGTCCTGCATGCGCAGTAGAGGACGCAATGACGTCACAGCCCAGGGTGCTTCATGTTTACGGAAGCAAATATGGATGGTGGTGACCGAGCGCATCTAGCAAACTTTCCAAACCTTAAAACCTAAATCTTTTTTTAAGATTGTAAAAAAAAAAAAAAATACAGCTCTCCGCATCATCGTCCGTCATGATGTTTGTTTTTCTTGCCACTTCTTCATAGCAAGACGCAGTATAGTAATCTTTGTCGGTTACTAATGGCGTTCAGGTCGAATTAATGAAATCTGGCCGTTCAGACACAGATCGCATTTGAAAACATCAGATTCGAATCAATTCCAGGACCACATAACCAAGTGGTGTGGGTCGTAGTGGAAAAAATCGGATCTTTGTTGTTCAGACTGACAGGAAAAGATCAGATCCAGGTCGCATATGGGCCAAAATCGGATTTGGGTCACTTCAGGTTGCAGTGTGAACATAGCCTTTGTCTGATTAGAAAGAGGTGGGAGGGCAACTTCCCTCAAGTTGCCCCTCCCTCTAATAATAATAATAATATTGGAACGAACTCCACTCCATATATTTTGAGCAATGACGAAGCACTTTTAAAAAAAAAATCCCAATAGGGGGAAAAGTGATCAAACTCCTCTGTGCAAACCTGGTAATGATTATAATGAAGCAACAAAGCAAAAAAAAAAAAAAAAAAAAAAAAAAACAATCAATAATGAATAATTATTTAATGATGGACAAAAACCTGATGGGTGGGAGTGGCCCTCTTCAGTGGGACAGCACAGTCATTCAGAGGAAATCATCCTCTAATTTCTACATATCCTGGTAAAGCTGACTTTACTCACTTTAAATGACAAAATTTCTGACTGGATCCCTACTTCCAGTGTGGAAACCAAAAGCAGATTTTAGAGGAGCTTATCTGAACCGTCCAGCTGCCCTGCCTGTCCGTTCAGCTCTTCTTTCATCGATTATCCGCCAGTCTCCTTGCAAGACTAACCCTCCTTTGTCTCACCTCCAGCGGAGAGCATCACCCCTCCCAGCGCATGAAGCAGCATGCAGGGATGGAGGATGATGCACCTGAGCTTCACCTACAAGCAGGAGGTCTGCTGCTGATGACCTGCAGGTGTTTGCTAGGCCCAAGGGCGCTGACTGACAGGTGGCACCGACGCGTTCAAGAAATGATGGAGACTCACCTCAGCGCCACGCGGACTGAACTTTCATCCTGTCCCGTCGTCATGGCTCCTTTAAAGTAATCCCCAAAAAACCAGAATATAATATCACTGCAGCAATTGAAAAAAAAAATATCTTGGCGCTTTGCCCTTTGGGTAAAAAAATAAAAAATAAAGGCCAGAAAAGAGTGCGCACTCTCCTCGGTGCAGGCGGACGGACCGCGAGAACGGGGTGCGGCTCACGTCGGCCTCGTCATTTTGAAACTAAAACAAAAAAAAGGTGTTAGAAGTCATGATATGAGCGAGGGGTAGGGTGTTGCGCTGCATCTCGGGCCCTGCGGATCTTCAGCTGGAGCTGAGAGCCAGAGAGTGGGCCGCCTGCTGCTGCTGCCGCTCCGCCTACCTTCTCCTGAGCCGTGCGCGCGCGCAGACACATAGAAAGCTGTCCGCGCGCGCAGCCGTGCGTCCTTCTGCTGCTCGGTACGCACCGGGAGGGAGCCGCAATGCGTCAGCAAGCCACGCCCACTCTAAGGGAAAACCGGTGGCGGAATTACATCATAAATTGCTGATTTCTTTTTTGTTTTGTTTTTATTTTTTTTAGACAAAAGGTAAAATTGAATGACTGCGCAACGTCACTACTAACCAAAAGGTAGTCCGCTTTCACAAAAACTGTATTGTTATAAATTTATTTTTTTTACAGCAGTGGTCAGTGTTTTAAACCTTGAATATAACAAAGATTAATCTGTTCTCTGTTTTACTTCCCTGGAATCAAGAAAAGTATACTTTAATCCATCAGGGTCACAATTAAACCTTTAAAAACAATATTCCACTCTACCTTAATAATTTATATTCTTATTAAAGATTATTGCAAAAAATTCAGTTCAATTCAGTTTATTTATATAGCTCCAATTCACAACACATGTCAACAGTTCACCAGATCATACAGTCAAATTTTATATCTAAGGAAAACCAGTTGATTGCATCGACTCATTGACTCGAAGGCAATCCCTCACACTAAGCATGCTTGTAGCGACAGTGGAGAGGAAAAACTCCCTTTTAACAGGAAGAAACCTCCATCAGAACCAGGCTTGGTGTGAGCGGCTATGTGCCGAGGCCGACTGGGGTTCAAGGAGACAGAAGCAGAGATACAAAAGGCAACTGTACACAGCCAGGCAGACGAGCTCTGAGCCAGCTCCCATGTCAGAGGATGAAGAGAGCACATCCAGCCAGTCACACTCAGAGAAACAGGACCACATTGGAAAAACGGGCCTATCTCCAGCATCCATAAACGAAAGTGTTGATGGCAGCAGCAAAGCTGATATTTCTCTCCAGGATGGTTTCACAGCCAAACAGGAAGAGACGTGAGAAAAAGCATAGAGAGCATAACGTTAGAGACTGAAGTAACAGATTCTGCAGAGTAGGAGAATAGAGATAGAATGAAGCAGAATGATGAAAAAGGGGTCCCTATTGTAAACAAGCGGTTCTTTGAAATCATATTGAAAAAGAAATGACAAAATTAATAATAAAAAAACGAATGTTGGTTAGATTTTTGTAGAATCATTAAATCAATATACTGACAAAAATATATTTTTTTATTTTACTAAATAATCTTACTCATAAAAGCGTTCAATTTCTGTTTCTTTTGGTCAAGGACTTTCTAAATGTTTTTAGTACTTTAAAACCAAACTTGGAAACAAAGTCCATTGGATTGCTTTTTTTTTACTTTTTGGAACATATTGCATATAAAACATTCATGGTGATTATTTTTTTATTTTTAGGGTCAGCTTCTCAGATTTTAAATATTTAATTTTACTGAATAAATGTAAGCTGTCACATTTCCTCAGCTAAACAGTATCAGCAGATGTGGCAGTCATCAACAAACGTGGCCAATAGTGCCATCTGGTGGCTGTAGAGGGATAAAACCGTCACCAACCTTTTTTACTTCAGCGTGCATCATAATAGCGCCTCTGATATTGTAGCCAAAAGAAAGCAGGTCATTGTGAACATGTTGGGTTGGTTGAATATAAAGGAATCAGAAACTCAAACATAAGGCTGAAATCTTCTTCTCTAATTTCTGATTATTTTTAACCATTATTGTGATTTTATTTCAGGGTTTATACAGGAATGAGTAATGCTGCGTTCACACCGGGGGCAGCAAAAGCAGCAAAATCGCGTCTGCTGCTTCATTTTTGCTGCTTGTACCAGTGAATTCTGACGCGCGTCTGAAGCAGCTTTGCTGCTCTCGCTGCGCGGTCCAAAAGTGGCTCTGACGCGCGTTGGGCGGAGCTTCACTATCCTTTCTCTGCCTTGCAGCTATATTTGCTGTGATCAGTGGGAATAAAGTAGTTTTAATATGTTTTTAAGTGAGAAAATACACCTGAAAACTTCATCAGTGGAGTCAGTTCATCCAGATTACAATCCTGCCTCCCACTGTTATTTCTGTCGGAGCCGCTCAGACCCCCACATACCGGCGGTTCGCCGACAGAAGGAATCCATTAATCAGCAGCCTCTGGTCGGGTCGCCTCCTCGCGGTTTACCGCGGTGGCTGGTAGGTGTTTTTCATCTAAATAATCCGATCTGCAGGCACCAGAATAATAAAAGCGAACATATTCTGCCGGCAGATGTATATATTTTAAATTAATTATGCTTTAATAAACTGTTTAAGAGAAGTGATCAGAGCAGTCTGTGTCATCAGCGCTGTGTCTCTCTCCCAGCCAGCTCCCAGATCAGCTTCTCTGATTGGTTGACGCGGCGCGTCGAGCAGCAAAAATTCAATTTTTCCATCTCGAGCAGCAACGCGTTTGCGGCGCGTCACGCGCGTCAGATGCCAAAACGCGCCCGACGCGCTGCTTCAGCTGCTCAGACGCGCTGCGCTTGCTGCTCGAAACGCGCCGCGGGACCTTTTGCTGCGCCTTGACGTGCGTCAACCATTGACTTTGCATGTAAACTCGCTGCTTCTGTCGCGCCAGCTGCCCCCGGTGTGAACGCAGCATAACTCTAATTTAATGCTCTTTTAATGCTCTCAGAAATAATTATCGTAATAATACCATCAACAAGTACCCATGACTCTCTCTCTCTCTCTTTCTCTCTCTCTCTCTCTCTCTCTCTCTCTCTCTCTCTCTATATATATATATATATATATATATATATATAAATAAATAAAAGATACGAAGAAATCTTTCATCATCTTTACTGTCGTCAGGCTGCAGCCATGTCCCGAATTCCTGGTTTTCCAACCACTTTTGTTGAAATTAGCATTTTTTTCCCGCATTCTCTAGCTTTTTCTCTGCCTCAAACTTTTTTTCCGAACAAACGGCTTTACGATCAAGCAGTTCCGTGCAAATTATCACGATATAATATATCTGAGGAAAAGTTTTTTATAATTTTCTTTTTCTTTTTTTTTATAACGCATTATAAATGCCGAAATAATAACATTTAATCAATTTTAATGCCAATTAAGGCCTTAATTTAAAAAATAATAATTTAATGACTTTTAATGTTTTAAAAACCCTGTACTTGCATTATCCTTTGCACTAACCACAAACCTGTAGATGTTTCTCTCCCGGGTTTATTTTTTATGACCTTTAAACCTTGCTTGTCCAGAGTCCTTTGTTGCAGGATTGTATTGTAACCTTTGTGTCAAAAGATGCTTGATTCTATTTACATTCCACCTGTTTGTTTTTTTTCCAAATAAAAAAAAACATTTTAATTTTTACTTCAGACAGAAATTGACTCAAGTAGAAAAAGGACTTTATCAACATCTGTTAGTAAAACATTTTTATTTTGCACTTGGAATGATTTGATTGGTTGTACATTGTAGAGTGTTTAAAGGAATGCCTGATGACCTGAACAGCATTAGAAAACAAGATAACAACCGTCACCATTAAACATTATACAGACACTAATTTGCAAACACTGCAAGGCCTGTAATGGATATATAAAATCCCAACATGAGAAACATTATAATAGTAAATTTCAAAGGGCCCACAGTACCATGAAGTAAAACAGGCACATATCAAAGTGAACAAGTGCAAAAAAAGGGCTTTGCGTATAAAAAAAAATTCTTTTTAATCAGGGTTGCTTGACCTCGCTTATCTGAGCTGCAAGAACAAGGACATATGATTGGACGTTAGAAGGTGGGATTTGGCATTGTTTACAGAAGGCCTTCACCTTGAGGCTGTACTTACAGAGATATAGGCTATGGCACAGTCAGAGTCCACTGCTCCATAGTGTGCCGCGCTGAAATCTGGAGACTGCTAAAAAAAAATAATGTGGGAAAAACTTACACTTTCTAAAAAGTAATACCGTAAAAATATATTTGGATGTATAAAAAGGCATTTGGCTTACAGAGATTATGGATAAGAGCAAACCACAATCAACAGTTTCTTTCCCACCAAGTGCAGATTTAGAGAACAAACCCCTGTTAGTGAACTTTACAAGAATGTGTTTTGCAGAGAGTCCAAAGGAGCCGGAAATAATTGGGAATCCTCTGTGATTTTAAGAGCAAAGTGTGCAAACACATTCTTGCTGGTTTCCAATGTTTGAACTCTGCAAAGAAGAATACTGAAGGCGGAGGGTCAGACTGAAATCATGCAGAGATCCTCAGCGGAGCTGGCAATGGGAAATCCCAATATGGCCGAAGGAATCAGTCCTTTTCAAAAGGACTCTGATTGGTCATATCATAGGAAAAAGGGGCGTGTCTTTGGCTTGCGTTCTTGAATGTTGTCTGAGACACAATAGAATAGAATAGTCAGTCTGTTAACATTAGGGCTGAAGAGACTTGTTTCCCTTTTGAGGTGCAAAACAACGACTGACATATTCATCGTCTAAGCAGAGAGAAATAGTTACAGTCAGTGTTTTCTCATCACAGTCAGAAGGCGACATGATTATCTTTCTTCCCCGCATGAGCAGAAAAGGAAAGCAGAATCAAGAGAGAGCATAAAGAGAGAAGAAATAGAACCAGCCCGGTCTACTCTACATCTGAGGCCTCATCGTCAGACTGGAGGTAGTTGTTGCCTTTTACCCGGATGTATTGGACGTGGCGACTGGTGTTGGTCGGCAGGTCCCCGCAAGAGCACAGCTGCCTGGTGAACAGGTTCTCTATGTCCTCAAGCTGTAAACCCTTTGTTTCTGGGAGGCAGCTAAAGATGAAGAGGAGGCCGAGCACCGTCAGGCCAGCGTAGAGGAAGAACGCACCTGGGAGGCAGAAAACAGAGCAAACATATCAGAGGACAAACAGCAGCTGAAGCAGCATCTCTGTGTGAGCTCATAGTTTATTACAATATTATAATATTTAAACCACTTTACTGACTGTGAAAAGGCAGCCCTCCCTTTTCACAAATGCCACAGAACAGCACGCTACAATGTAGCTGGCTAACGTCACACACACCTGCACACACCTCCATACACAAGCGCGCACACACGAATCTGAGACTTTCACTCGCGGAGCCGGCAACCGCATATGAGAGCTCTTTGTCACGCCAACACTCCAAAAACTTTCAGTACTTACCTGAGTGACCAGCCATCGCAGCGTTCGGTGAGGTACCCGCCGATATCGCTCCATAATCCCATACCGCTCCAGTTTCCACACATTGCACACACAAACACAAACGCGCGCACACACACTTCCTGGTCCGACAACTTCTCCTCCCCTGGGAAACACGAACTGTGGGTAGGGGAATAATTTATGTCTCATTCAGCCAATCAGAGGCTTTGATTACCTGACGGGGTGAAACTGAGTGTTTGATGCATTTAAAATGCTATTTTTAGGTGTAATGTTGATGTAATGAGAAATGTGTTTTATTGAATGTATGCATACAGTAATGTGGTTAATGTAGATTGCTTAGGCATGTAATTTAACAGTGAAAATGAAGTAGTGCATTGTTTCAGCTGTACCTTTTTTTTTCTTGCATAGTGGTCTCATCCAATCAGTCAGTGATTTAGTCCAGTAGGCATGCAATTTGCCAATTATGTCTGTTTGTATAAAAACCCTACTTTTTCCTCAGTTTGTGGGTTGGATGCTAGGAGAAAGGTTGGTGCCTGAGACTGTCGTGTTCAAAAGAGGTATTGCTCTCTGTGCTTAGATTTATTATTAGTTATTATTTTGAACAACCATCGTGTTGATTTTGTTTATGTTTTGGAAAGTCTTTTTGTTACTGCACTTTTTGGTTAGAGCACTGTAAATAAATATACACCACGTCATTTGCACTGGACCTCCTTGTTGAGTGCTTTCATTCCATTTGGGTGGCCATCCTGCAGTGAAACCTGAGCCAGAGGGCTCACCAGTTTCACATTTGGTGTCAGAAGTGGGATCGTGGCGCCGACACGAAAGTCAACAAGAAAGAAGTGCAAGCAGAGTGAGATGGCTTACAGGAAGTTGAAGAAGACCAACCCCCTGGGTCCAGGTGAGGAAGAGGTCGAAGGAGCCATAGGAGGAGAGCAACAGACACAACCTGATGACGACGACAGGCCGCAAGAAGCACTCAACCTTTCAGACCTGTACAGCCTACTGCAACGGTCCATGCGGACGCAGGAGAAAGAGAGGGAGAAACAAGAGCAGCGGTGGCGCAACATTCAAGTTCAACTGGGTAACGTCCGTGATGAGCTGGAGGACCATCGCAGGAGTTCCAGGGGAGGGCAGCAGCAGCAGCAGCCAGATGGAGCAAAGCCAGCAACCCTCCCAGCGGCAGTGACCCTCCCAGCAGCAGCGGCGCATCCAGCGGCAGCGACCCTCCCAGCAGCAGCGGCGCATCCAGCGGCAGCGACCCTCCCAGCAGTGGCGGCACATCCAGCGGCAGCAGCCCTCATGACAGTAGCAGCAGCACCGGCACATCCAGTGGCAGCAACCCTCCAAGCAGCACCGGCAGCAGGGTATCCAGCACCACCACCAGCCCCATGGATGCCAGCGGCAGGCCCATCGATCCTGTTTCCTGATCCAGCAGCACCAGCGCCAGCAACATGGACCAGAGCAGCAGTGCCGAAGCTAGAGGACAGCGATGATGTGGAGCAATACATGACCACCTTTGAACGTCTAGCCACAGCCTACAGGTGGCCCTTAGCCCAGTGGGCTACATTCCTTGTACCGTACCTGTCTGGCAAAGCTCGGGCTGCATACGTCGCCATGGATCCTTATGAAGCCGTGGACTACTTCAAGGTGAAGAATGCCATCTTAGCCAAATATGAGATAAACGCCGAAAGCTACCGAACACGGTTCAGGGAGCCGAACATTCAATCTGGTGAGACGCCGAAAGAATTCTACAACCGGCTGAAGGACTTGTACCAAAAATGGATTCGCCCAGCGGAGCACACTGTGGAAGAAATCGGTGAAGTGCTCATTCTGGAACAATTCTTGCGCTCACTCTCCCCGGAGGTAAGAGTGTGGGTCAAAGAGCACAACCCCAGCACAGGCCTGAAGGCCGCAGAGCTCGTGGATGGTTACCTGTCAGCCCGCCGCGGACCGAAGGACTTCAGATTCCAAGGCCCCAACAGAGCACCTCAACCGCCGAAGGGCAAGTCTGTGGGATATGGGAGTGGAGTTGGTCCTGGTCCGGGGAGTGGTACACAGAGTAGGGGCCCAAGCACTAGACATTACATGCCTCAACACCCCTCTCAGCCTAGACCTACTGACACATCCACAACACACAATACACCTGCTAACACACAGGCTGTATGTCATTATTGTGGTAAGCCAGGTCACTGGGCTAGAGTTTGTCCTCTGAAGAAGGTTAGGGGTGCTACTTGCAGTATGGTTTCTGTGCCTAGACCTATGACTGATGCTGTGTATGCTGACAGTGTGCCAGTAATGGGTGTGATTGTGAATGATAAACCGGCAAGGGCTCTCCTGGACACAGGCAGCACCCACACTTTGGTGCAACCTCACCTGGTTCAGCAGCCTGAAGCTTTGACTGGCGAGAAACTGCGAGTAGTGTGTGTGAATGGTGATGTCCATGAATACCCCATAGCACTTGTGTCTGTTAAAGTGCAAGATCAGATGTTCAGGTTAGAAGCCGGGGTTGTTAAAGGCTTGAATTATCCTGTGGTCTTAGGTCAGGATGTGGGGATTCTGCCAGACCTGGTGCAGGCTTCTCTCCCAATGAGTTGCGTTGCAACCAGGGCACAGGCTAAAAAGGCGCAGGAGTTGTTACGTGAAATGCCATACAGTGGAGAACATTTTGGTTCCCCTGTAAAAATGAGAGACAGGAAGACACGCCGACAGCGTAGGCATGACAAACTAGTTGGCACCGTCAAAGTCATGTCTGGTGAAGAGCTAGCGGCAGTTCCTGATGCAGGGAAGGAGATGTGGCAAGTTCCTGATGATCTGAAAGAATTGCAAAACCAAGATGTTTCACTGAAGGAGCTGTTTGACCAAGTTGTTGAAGTGGATGGTGTGGGCACAGGCCAGGAAAAGACATTGCTGGGTGAATTTTACTTTGTGCGTGATGGCTTGCTGTATCATCAGCCTGAAGGTGGCAGTGCAGAGCAGCTAGTAATACCGACCTGTCTAAGACAGAAGATTTTGTGTTTGGGTCATGACATTCCTTGGTCGGCACATTTGGGAAGTGTGAAAACTTTGCAGAGGATTTCAGACAGATTCTTCTGGCCCGGGTTGTATACTGATGTGCAAAAACACTGCAAAACATGCCCCACCTGCCAGCTTTACAGCAAACACAAAGTCAGGCCATATCCACTTCAGCCGTTGCCAGTGATAGATGTCCCATTCACCCGAATAGGTATGGACATTGTAGGACCTTTAGAGCGCACACAATCAGGCCACCAGTACATTTTGGTAATCTGTGATTACGCCACACGTTATCCTGAAGTGTTTCCCTTACGCAAGGTTACGGCTAGAGCCATTGCCCCTGCACTATTACAGTTATTCTCAAGGGTGGGAATTCCCCGGGAAATACTGACGGATCAGGGAACAGCTTTCCTTTCAAACACCTTAAAGCAGGCTTATGGGTTGTTGGGTATTAGTGCGATCAGGACCACTCCCTACCATCCCCAGACAGATGGACTTGTTGAGAGGTACAATCAGACACTGAAAGGTATGCTGAGGAAATTTGTGTCTGCCAACGGCAGAGATTGGGACCGCTGGCTGCCGTACCTGATGTTTGCCTACCGTGAGGTACCTCAAGCATCCACGGGGTTCTCGCCGTTCGAACTCCTGTACGGCAGACATGTGCGCGGACCCCTTGACCTGCTGAAGGATGCCTGGGAGTCGCCCAAGGCCACCACCTCCAACGTGATCTCCTACGTCATTGCCATGAGGGACAGGATGGAGGAGATGGCCAGCCTCGTTCGAGACAACCTCCAGAGTGCCCAGGTGACCCAGACCACCTGGTACGACCGGAGTGCACGACAGAGAACCTTCCAGCCTGGCCAGAAAGTCCTCCTTCTCCTGCCCACTGAAGAGAATAAGTTGCTGGCGAGGTGGCAGGGTCCTTACAGCATCAGCAGACAGTTGGGGCCTACCACCTATGAGCTGGAGATGCCAGAGAGGAGGAAGAAGCGGCAAGCGTTCCACGTCAACCTCCTGAAAGAGTGGAATGAAAGGGAGGCACCACCTAGTCCACAGCTGTTGGTGCAGGCCGTGAAGGAAGAGGAGGACACCCCTGAGCAATTCTTCCCGACCGAACAGCCAGCTGGGACATTGGACTTGTCCCATCTAACCCGTCAGCAGCAGCAAGAGATACAGGCCATTGTTCCTGAAGGCCTGCTCAGTGACCAGCCGGGGTACACACCGGTGGCAGAGCACCCCATCCGTCTGAAAGACTCTACACCCGCCAGACAACGGATGTACAGAGTTCCAGAGCGCCTGTTACCTGCTCTCCGGGAGGAGCTTCAGGTCATGCAGAGACTGGGGCTGATTGAGCGTTCGGAGAGTGCCTGGAGCAGCCCAGTGGTCCTTGTGCCGAAGAAGGACGGCACAATGCGCTTCTGCATTGACTTCCGCCAGGTGAACGCTCAGTCACACTTCGACGCCTACCCCATGCCCCGACTTGAAGACCTCATCGAGCGTCTGGGAGGCGCCCAGTACATTACCACGCTGGACCTTAGCAAGGGGTACTGGCAGGTGCCCCTGGCAAAAGAAGCAAGACCCTACACCGCCTTCAGGACACCCCAGGGCCTCTTTCAATTCACGGTGATGCCCTTCGGCCTGCAGGGGGCGCCTGCAACATTCCAGCGCCTGATGGACCGGGTGCTGGACGGCACCGGCGCCTTCGCGGGTGCTTATCTTGATGACATCATCATCTACAGCAGCAGTTGGGCGGAGCATGTGCAGCACCTGGCCGAGGTGTTGCACCGCATTCACCAAGCGGGGTTGACCATCCAGCCCAACAAGTGTGCCTTTGTTCAGCAAGAGGTGCGCTACCTGGGGCACATTGTTGGACGCGGAGTCATCAAGCCTCAACAAGACAAGCTCCAGGCAATCCGGGACTGCCCGCGGCCAGAGACCAAGAAGGGGGTCCGCTCTTTCTTGGGGCTCGCAGGGTGGTACCGGAGGTTCGTCCCCAACTTTGCCACCAGAGCAGCCCCTCTCACCAATCTCACCAGGAAGTCTGGCTCAGTCCGAGTCAGGTGGGAGGACCAGCATGAAACGGCCTTCAACGACCTGAAGGAGGCCCTCTGCAGCGGGCCAGTACTGCAGAGTCCAGACTTCAAGCAGCCGATGACCGTCCAGACTGACGCCTCCGGTGTTGGTCTGGGGGCCGTGCTCCTTCAAGGTGAAGGAGATCAGCAGCGACCTGTGGCTTACATAAGCCGCAAACTTTTTCCAAGAGAGACAAGGTACTCTGCTGTTGAATTGGAGTGCCTTGCTGTGAAATGGGCCCTGGACTCCTTTCGTTACTATCTCTTGGGTCGACAGTTTGTTTTAGAGACTGACCACCGGGCCTTGAAGTGGCTCGGGCAGATGAAAGACACAAATACCCGCATCACCCGTTGGTTTTTGGCCTTGCAGCCATACAGTTTCCAGGTCCGCTATCGGGCGGGCACGCAGAATGCAGTGGCGGATTATCTGTCTCGCCACCCAAGTGGCGAGCCTCCAGAGGAAGGGGGAAATGTGAAAAGGCAGCCCTCCCTTTTCACAAATGCCACAGAACAGCACGCTACAATGTAGCTGGCTAACGTCACACACACCTGCACACACCTCCATACACAAGCGCGCACACACGAATCTGAGACTTTCACTCGCGGAGCCGGCAACCGCATATGAGAGCTCTTTGTCACGCCAACACTCCAAAAACTTTCAGTACTTACCTGAGTGACCAGCCATCGCAGCGTTCGGTGAGGTACCCGCCGATATCGCTCCATAATCCCATACCGCTCCAGTTTCCACACATTGCACACACAAACACAAACGCGCGCACACACACTTCCTGGTCCGACAACTTCTCCTCCCCTGGGAAACACGAACTGTGGGTAGGGGAATAATTTATGTCTCATTCAGCCAATCAGAGGCTTTGATTACCTGACGGGGTGAAACTGAGTGTTTGATGCATTTAAAATGCTATTTTTAGGTGTAATGTTGATGTAATGAGAAATGTGTTTTATTGAATGTATGCATACAGTAATGTGGTTAATGTAGATTGCTTAGGCATGTAATTTAACAGTGAAAATGAAGTAGTGCATTGTTTCAGCTGTACCTTTTTTTTTCTTGCATAGTGGTCTCATCCAATCAGTCAGTGATTTAGTCCAGTAGGCATGCAATTTGCCAATTATGTCTGTTTGTATAAAAACCCTACTTTTTCCTCAGTTTGTGGGTTGGATGCTAGGAGAAAGGTTGGTGCCTGAGACTGTCGTGTTCAAAAGAGGTATTGCTCTCTGTGCTTAGATTTATTATTAGTTATTATTTTGAACAACCATCGTGTTGATTTTGTTTATGTTTTGGAAAGTCGTTTTGTTACTGCACTTTTTGGTTAGAGCACTGTAAATAAATATACACCACGTCATTTGCACTGGACCTCCTTGTTGAGTGCTTTCATTCCATTTGGGTGGCCATCCTGCAGTGAAACCTGAGCCAGAGGGCTCACCAGTTTCACACTGACAAACAAGGTTTTTCATCCTAAATGCAAATTTTATATAGTTTTAGCCTCATTACTGCTCTTCCCCTCCCAGGGGGAGGGGGCTATTTCTGTGAATCCCATGTTATTGGTTATTTAGTTACTAAATGAATAAACAATGTTAATCAGGGTTTATACAGGAAGGAGGAACTCTAATTTAATGCTTTTTGATGCTCTTTTAATGCTCTTAGAAATAATTTAAATGCCATCAATAAGGACCCATTACTCTCATATATATGTATATATATATATATCCTTCATTCTCTATCTTTTTCTGTGCCTCGAGCTTCTGTTCCGAACATATAGCTTTAGGATCAACCAGGAGCAGTTCCACGCAAACACGTGGAACCAGTTGAATCTGATATATTTGACAAATTTTTTACATATATATATATATATATATATATATATATATATATATATAAAGCATTTTATATAAAATTTTACACCAACTTGGATATACGCACCAACAGGAACAATAATGCCGTCAGTCAAAGGTTAGTGCTGGATATAAAGGAAATAACAGGAAATAACAGATCAAATAAATACCAAGCTTCTCTCTATAGGTGTATATATATATATATATATATATATTTTTTTTTTTTTTAAGCTTTATTTATAGGCCGTGTCAACCTGTTGATTAGCTTCATTTATTAACTGCTAAATATCGCTTTTTTGGTTAGTAAGCTTTATTGCAAGGATAAGCACAGTTGACTGCCAACAAAAATAACTCAGACGTTTAGGCCACAAAAAAATAATGTTCCTCTTGATTTCTTTGACATTTGTAATATATTGTCATACAGAATTGAGAACATGTATCAGATAAAAGCAGAGGAAAAGGAAATATCCATCTACCTTTGAATTAGCCCATAAACAAAAGAGCAGAGAGAGAAAACAGCTATCATTGCAGATGGAAAGGTTATAGTTTTACCATAATAGGTCAGATACTCTGCAACATGAAGAAATGTCAAAGACACCAGGACATTGAAGATCCAGTTAACACCAGCGGAGCAGGCGTTTCCAGTGCTGCGTGCCCACAGGGGGTAGATCTCCGAGTTCACAGTCCAGGGCATTGTGCCCATACCTAGAATATTGGTGACATATATAATCAAATATTGATCCATTTGTTTCCCTTAGATATCTAACTGCGGATAAGAATGTAATTTGGACTGATTTCCAACTCAGTTAATGTTCTAATAGTCTATTCTAGCTTCAACTCAAATTTTTATGAACAATTTCCACTTATGATGTAGAGATGAGGTTTGTTTTTTTTCTCCATGCATGGGAGGCTGATGAAAAGACTGATCTCTTAATAATAAGCTGGTTGTTTAGAGAGTGAAATGAAGTGATTTTGACCTGGAGCGAACGATGCGAGGTAGAGGATGAGGCCCAAAAGGACAATCCAGGAGTACGGTGTAGGACAGTAATTATAAGCCCAGAATAGTCCGCCGGATTCTTCCGTCTTGTTAAAACATCTGGGTGAAAAACATATGGAACAAAGATTATCAGTTTGAGACTGTAACAAACTGATCTGCCTTATATCTAACAAAAGACAATGGTCTGACCTTCCCCACGCCGCATTGTCAGTAGATGCTGGATTAACAGGGACGCAGGAAGAGTTGAACGCTCCATTGCCGTTGTCAAGGTAACAAAATCCACAGCCTGGATCCAGCATGCAAGGGTCACAGGACCTGTAGAAAGATGCAGCGTGTAAAAGACTCACCAAAGGCTCAGTTTTCTTAGCTGGAGAAGGTCTTCAATTATAAGGCCAAAATGGATCAAAACTTCTAAACTTCGATGGAAAAATAATGTTTTTTTGTATTGTTTTTTTCACTGAAGACGATCAAATAAAATTAAGTCTGGTCGGGTTAAAGATGGGAACCATCGACTCATGCTTGAGAAAATGGCGACTTTTGGTTTTGTTAGAGCCTGAAGTCAGGTTGGCAGTGGAACGGCACAGATTTATCTTGCTCTGCTGCAGGATGGAAGGAATTTTGGTCCATCAATGTTGCAAAGACCACGTTTTGAACAAAAGAAATTTTAAATCAGAACTAAAACTATGAAAAAAATTTTGCTCTTAAACGGGCTTTAAGAGTAACTTTGCTGTTTTCTATTTTGTTTTTTTATATTTTATTTTTTCAGATTTTTTTCAGATTCACAGATAGTTGATAGGCGCCAGAACCTCAGGGTCAAATCAAAGATAAAACAAACTATACTTTCCTACAGCCTTTCCCAACAAATTGACGCATATATTTAAACATCTGTGCTTTCTAGATAGAAGGTGTAGTGGATAACCTTTTTCAGTTTTGGGTTCTTCAATCTTTTCCATACTTACCTACCTGTATCGATAATCATTTTTCCATAAATTTACAATTTACATAATTTACATGTACTAATATCTACATAAATTGATTCTTTAATACGTTTTGATAAAAATACTTATTCAGCTATGACTCAACTGAAGACTCCTAGATGACTTGCACAGATGCATTATTTTCTCTTTACCCAATAAAACACTAAATCTAGTTCTGAAAAGAGCATTAATTGTGTACTTATAATTTTTAATGTTAGTGTATTGATATGTATAATTAACCACAGTATTTTTGTTGTCAAGCAATGCAGTTCATAAAACTGAATATAAAGAAGCAAAATTAAAAAGAAAAGATTGAAAAAAAATTATGTTTGAAAAAGATACTGAAAGATAACATCTGTGAAAAAGATATTGTTTCAAAATATATACATATAAACTAAAATATGATAAGTATTAGAATTAAAAAAAAAAACTACAAGCTAAGGGAACAGCTAAGGTACTTTCCAAAAAAAAATTCCAGTTTCATGTCTTCTTTCTTTTTTGAAACTCCCATTTACATGTCCATTTCTTGCATCTGTATTGGAACAAATTCCACTCCATATTGCAACGGCTAGTTTGTGTTTATGTCCTGAGACCAGCTAAATCAAACGCGTATTTTTGAGATTGTAACTTCATTTCTAAGAGAGCAAACTTGGAAAATGATCAGGGGAATCAAACATTTGCATATCCTCTCACCGGTTCTATCATCTGTAGCAACTACCTGTTACAAGTAGTTTCACAACCTGCTAATAATGCAGAACTATCATTTTTATTTAATCACACAGCCATAGTTTTATAATTCTGCATGTATCATAAATTTTGAATCTGTACTTTTATGATACATACTGTGTGAGTTTTTTTTATCAGATTGTGAGTCTCTGGTGTTTGTAACTTAATTTCAATTTAATTTCAATATAAACAAGATTTTTAATCACAAAGGGGAAATTAAATACTAGTGTGTCGATGTGTAAGTTTGAGCATTGCTCTTGAGATGAAATGTGCTGCATACATACATATACTATCTGCTTTATTTGCCTTTTTAAAGTGAGGATGCCATTGAATATATATAAGGAACATGATGTTCCATAGAAGCAGATAGGAGGGATTATAATCTCCACTTTGGAATCCTTCCCCAGAAGCACAGCTTGGGTTTGCTTTTCCTCCCAATAAATAAGAAATTTTAAATAACAGATGATAAGGATTTCTGGGTAGAGAAGCATTAGAAATAAAGAAAAGTAAAGATTGTGTGAAGAAGAGCACAAGAATGAGGGAGACTCTGCTTCTGAGCAGCTGGTTTCTGTCTGAAATTAAAATGAAGTCATACTTCCTGATTTTTTTTTTTTTTTTTTTTTTTTTTTTTTACCCATAAAGCCTGCAGGTTGAATTTCCAGAGTCGACAGGATGGAGGGTAACAGGAGGAGAGTTTTGGGCTGAAAGCAGGAATCCGACTGCCAGCACCGTCAGACTCAGTCCGGTACCTGCAATGGAGCGAACAGACAGATAAATAATGACGCCACAGGTTTAATTGCCTTTCCGTTAAAGTTAGATCATCAGAGCATGAAAGTTTCAGGAATTCCAGACCTAGAAGACTGCCCAGGGTCAGTTTCCGGCGGCCGACTCTCTCCACCAGCCATACCCCCACTAATGTGAAAGCAAAGTTGGTTGCTGAAGTTGCTGCAGCCAGCCAGATCGCCTGTTTGTCTTCCCGTACTCCTGCCATCTGCAGAATGGTGGCGCTGTAGTACCTTAACACCAAAGCAAACAGAACAATGAGGTCAAACAAACTGCACGCTCTGACAAAAGCCCCTGCAGATAAATAAGAGGCAGTTAGGCCTACATCATTGTGTTAATCCCAGATATCTGCTGAAACATCTGCAGACCACAACCGACGATGAGCGCCCTGCGAGTTGGGCCGTAGCTGAGGATGCGTAAAATGACCACGCCTCCTGCAAATGGACGATAGGCTGAATTTCAAACTTTGCCTTTTAATAAAGTTCTGCAGAATGAGACTGGTTCCCCAAAAGGCTCTCAGACCTGATCCCGATTCCTTCTCCTCTTCCTCGATGCCGTCCCTGATGGCGTTGTACTCCTCCTCGATATTCTGCTCCCCCCGGATCCGGCCCAGGACTTGACGAGCCTCCTGATGCCGGCCTTTTTGCAGGAGCCAGCGGGGGCTCTCTGGGAGGAAGATGAAGCCGAAGAACTGCAGCACGGCAGGAAGGACAGACAGGCCCAGCATGTACCTGGGGGAGGAGGAAGGCCATTTAAGTCTCCCTTTGAATCAGGAGCTAAATACGTTCAATTGATTTTCGTGAACCGAAATTAAAAAAAGAAATCCAGAGATGATACAGTGGAATATATTTTAATTAAAATAAATGAAAAGAAATAAAAAAATTATTTTGATAGTTATTTTGCTGTTGTTTTTTTTTGTTTTTTATCCAAATATCTGATACAGCTTATATATTTTACTTTATTTAGTTTCCAGATCTCATTCTCTTCATGGGGGCGGGCTTTCCTCTTGACTGAGGAGTGAAGATGCATTTCTATTGGTCTGCTGGACGTTAGCAACATTATTTTTTTTTTGGTCAATGTGCATCAAGAGCTGCGTTTTTGGATTTTTTTTAAGTGAAGTGATCTTTGAAATCTTTAAAAAAGCAATATGAAAATAAAATTCATCAATCCTAAAAACAGTTTAGAAGAAAAAATTGAAAACAAAAAAATCTCTAAAAATGTTTATGAAAAATAAAGATTGTAAATTTCAAACTTGAAAAATGAAATATGAAGAAAAAAATTAAAAATGAAAAAATAAATGTAATTTTTTTAAATAATGAAATATAATTAAAACCAGAGAAAACAGCAAAGTTCATATCAAAACCTTTTTTGGGTTTCATTTTTGGATTGCATGTTTTTTTCTTTCAAATTTTCATTTACAAAATGTCTTATTTTGCTCGAAAAATTATTTAAACAACATTTACACCATATGCGCTTTAAATTTTCAACATGTGTGACATGAAGATGATTATCTACATAGCAGCTTGCTTATGTGACATAGTCTGAGTGAAACTCAGTGATAAAAATAAAGATGTTACAAAAAAATGGTCTAAAGCACCATTCATAACACTTTAATGGGACATATCTGACCAAATTGCTCTAGAAAAGGAGAAAACTCCTTCTTTAGATTTTTATAATAAGAACAATAAAAAAGTTGGAGTCAATGGACAAAAACTCTCCTAAAAAAAGAAATCAGAGTCTAATCAGTGACCAAAATCAGAATATTTGCTTTTTGGAAGGTCCTTTGACAACAACTTTTCAAAACCTCTCCATTTACTTTTAATGTTTTGCTCTTTTTTATTTATTTCAATACTTTTAAGGACTTGGAGGATCTAAGGAAAACCCTGTCTGAAGAGAAGGGGCAATAATCTGGGTCTAATCTGTACCTCCATCCATCGTGACTCAGGTAGCTGAAAGCTCCATCCACCACGCTGGCGATGAACTGGCCTCCGGTAATGAAAAGGGAGTTCATGGTGACCAGCTGGCCTCTCAGCTGTGGAGGGGAAACTTCTGCGATGTACACAGGAACGGTCATAGAAGCAATGCCTGACAAATGACAAAAAAAACAAATAATCTATTTACACACTTTATTTCTCCCTGCCAACAGTTTTTTACGCATCAACCACAAACTTCAGCAGATCGTTTTAGAGATTTCATGCCACAGACCAACAGAAAAGACTTTAAACATCAGCAAGAAGAGAGAAAATAATGACATCATGAAAAACAAAGGAGTGCATTTGCTTTTAGTCTTTAGGAGCCAAATATCCTTTGGTGTTTGTCGCCACCAGGGGGCGTATTTAATTTTGAGTTCTTGTTTTGTGCTGAAAATAAATGACTTTGTTTTATGTCAAACGGAAGAGCGGCATTCTAAATCTTAATTGAGCGCACGTTAAACCTATGCCTTCCAACAACAACCACCAGTAGCCTAAAATATAGGATTTTAGCCGCTACATAGTCCCATTTTCTCTGATGCACCTAAGAAAACATGGCCAACAACCGCCAGTAATCAGCTTTAATTGTGGAGATCTTAGAGGTTTGCTGGAGCATATGGAGTGATTTTGTTCCATTATTGTTGCAGGCAAAGAGCAAAATTCCTGAATGGAAATTTGGGAAAATGAAATCTAATCCAGAGACGAAACTTTGAAAAACATTTTAAGAAAAAAAGGGCAACTTTGATGTTCTCTCATGAATTTTTTTTTTTACTTTAAAATTTCCTGTCTAGCGTGTTCCAGTACTTTTTATTTCCTTTTTATTAGATCACATTCTCTTTACTTCAAACCCAGTTTAAACAGTCACTTGACGCCACATTGACCAATAAAATGTTGCTAATGTCTATAACGACTAATAAAATGCGGCTTCGCTCCTCGCTCTGGAGGAAAGCTCTTCCTAGAACTAATGAGTTTGTGATCTGTAAAATGCAATTAGAAAAAAAATGCCATTAATAAAACTTCATTAAAAAAAAGAAATTTGAAGAAAAAAAAAGAATTTTGAAAATTTGAAATCTTTTAAAAAAATGGATCAAATGAAATGTCCATTTACAAAAAAAAATGTCTTTGCTTGCCAAGATAATGGAACTAAATTCACTCCATAGAACACAGCTCACAGATAATATATTGAGCAGCTTTTTAAAGCAGACCTGGATTTAAAACAGTATTCCACCATCAAAAAATTTAGAGAAACTTTAGAATTCCTCATCTGGAAAGAAACAGGAGTACGTCGCAGCTCCGAGACCTGGGGGCCGACTAAATCAAGAAGCGCATTAGTCTCTGAAGCAGACGAAGGGCCCGTGGGAACTCTAGAGGAGCTGCGGAGATTAGGGAGCTCTGTGTTTTTGAGAGAGCGACAAGATGTAAACTATTCTGCTTTGCCACAATAAATGTCAGGGACGAAGGCCCTTGTTAAAGTTGACCTACAGTACAGGGGCCATAAGAGGGACACCGAACCAGTGTGAACAGAGCGGCACCATCATGGTATGGGGATGTCTTTTAGCAGGAACAGAAAAGCTGATGAGGTTTGGAGAGAAGATACGTGGAGCTCTTGGAAACAAAGTCCAGCGGATTGTTTTTTCACTTTTTTGGAATAACTATGACCTGGATAACTGAGAATCTTCAACAGCATACATGGACCTAAAAATATACTTTAATCATAGATGAGATATGTTAGAGATCGATGTGGAGGTTCTTTTGCAAGATACACGGGGTTAAATGAGTTGAACCCTGAAAAAAAAAAATCACAAGACCTTTAATGCAATGTTTTAGAATAAAAATTTGCATGTTTTAGAAGTCAAAGTTTGAGGCTACATTTATTGAGAAGATAGAGAAAAACTTGAAAATGGCGACCCTCAGCATTCAGTGTGACTGAGGTTAAGCTACTTTGTAAGGAAAAAACTGACATAAATATAAGTGTGCAAACCTGGTAGGGAGCAACTTCCAACTGTAACTGCAGCAGAGAGTGAACCCACAAAGTATCGATAGTGGGTTGAATACATATGCATCCCATATGATTCAGATTCAAACAGCTTAAAACATTAATTTTTTTTTCTTTCTCCCACTTCATAATTATGCACCAGTTGGTTTAAAACACATGAGGAATAACTCCCAGTTAATCATCAAGGTCAGGCACCCCTGACACCGTCGAGGGCCGCTGTCCTGCAGGTTTTATAGGTTTCACTGCTTCAGCACAGCTGATTTACATTAATAGTTGATTAACAGGCTTTTGCTGAACTGCAATCATCAGAATCAGCTTTGCTAAAGCAAAGAAACCTCTAAAACCTGCAGGACAGCGACCCACAAGGACCGTATTTGGGATGCCTAATCAAGGTGATTTTGTCAAAGCGCATCACTGGGCTCAAGATGAGCAACTTACCAATGCCTAAGCCCACTGTGATCCTGCCAACAAGGAGGACCTCTTTGTTCTGGGCCACGCTCAGAATAATTCCGCCGCCGCTGAAGATGAAGCTGGCGATGAGGATGCAAATCCTGCGTCCCAGCCACCCGTTCAGGAAGCCCCCGCTGAGGGCAGAGAGCGCCGCGGCCCCCACCGTGCTGGACACCAGCAGCTCCTGCCATAGGGCGCTCAGGTGCATCTCCTTCTTGAGGAGCAGCATCGCTCCAGAGACCACGCCCGTGTCATACCCGAAGAGGAATCCTCCCAGGGCGGAGAAAAACGCCAACAAATAGACGAAGTACGGAGTAGAGGCGTCTCGGCCCTGGAAGTTCTCCCCGGAGGGAGGTCCAATGAGACTCCGCTCTCCATCCTCCGCAGCTTTCTGCCTCCTGCTGCCTGTGCGGTTACTCATCTGCTTCAGGGTGGAGTCATTGAGGTCGCTGGACATGGGAGAAAGCCAGTGTTACAAATACATTTGTGACCCTTCTTATATGGTGTAGTCTCCTCACCTTTCTGTTATCTACAAAATGCTCAGGAGTCACACGCGATCCTAATATCTCAACCATTCCCACAACTAACATCTAACCTAATGAAGTCTGTGGTGAAACACATGTACTTCGCCTTAGGTCACCATATATGATAGGTCACAGATTTTAACAATATTTAAAGTGGCCAGGTGACATATAAGGAAGTGGAAATAACAGACAATGGAGTAAATCATTAGTTAAAGACAGCATTGCTTTGACGTACACTGTTTAAGCGAATAAAGATAACAATGCAACAGTTGCTATAATCCATTTTTTTATGTTTATAGTCAGGATGAGAAAGCTGCTACCTGGTTAACAGACTTATAGTCTGTGGTCCCGCGATTTAACCTGATTGCTGTTTTAGCTCAATATTCTGTCACCGCAGGGGCCACCAGTCACCTCTATAGAAAAAAACAAAGAGGAATTCAGCAATAAAACTATCGGAACACATTGGTTTGTTTACCCCCTGATGTGTCCATGGGAGCCGCCATGTTTACGTGACGTAAGCAGCCTGACTCCGCTGGAAATAATTACCGAAATTATCATAAAAGCATACGCTGACGAAGGTTCTCAGTCATCCAGGTCAAAGTCATTCCGTAAAAATTCAAAAAATATCCACTGGACTTGGTTTTCAAGATTTGAAGACGTTTCGCCACCTCTCCAGGAAGCTTTCTCAATTGAGACGTTTCGCCACCTCTCCAGGAAGCTTTCTCAATTGAGAAAGCTTCCTGGAGAGGTGGCGAAACGTCTTCAAATCTTGAAAACCAAGTCCAGTGGATATTTTTTGAATTTTTACGGAATGACATAAAAGCATACCCAAACTTACACTATTTCTAAAACAGCGGTCTACATTTCAATTTCTATGGGTTAAGAAATTCTTAACTGTAATGAAATACGTTTCATATTATATATTTAAAAAATAATAATAAAAAGGCTAATTTTTTTAGGGCCGTTTAATATCAGAATATAAACTAGTACTTGTTCAGATGCAGAGCGACAGGCACTTCAAATTAAGGCGTGAAGGGAAAATATTTAGGAGTAAAAATGTTAGTAAAAAAAAAAAGAAAAGTCGATTTGATGGGAAGAATTTATAATTCAAAATCTGAAATCGTCTTATCCGTTTATAAGTCAAAGCTAAATAGCTTGATTATATCTATCAATATAATTGTTATTAAAATCCTTGCAAATAAACCACTATAAATTTAAACGCTGTGTGTGTGTATGCCACTCACAATATGGCGTCTATATTGACGTAGGGTCCCGGACTCTCGTTCCTCGTCCTTTTTTTTTTAACCACCCTGCCTGACTTCAAACACAAATCAAAGCGAAGTGGAGGGAGCCGCGGTTCTGCTACAGTCGCTTCCTGACTCAACACAAAAACCACGTTTAACTTAAAAAACTTCTTATTTAGACTAAAAAACACCATATTGTGAAACTATGTCAACATCCGCAAACGTAGGCTACAGTCGGCCAGGTTACCCCCCGCGGTTATTTTCCAAAAAGTGTATGAAATGCAAAAAATACCCTAGAATGATTTAAATTATTATGATCACAATTCTGTGATTCTATTCTTCTGTTTTAAGGTTATAATTCTAATACATCAGTAGTTAAATTTAACAGATCCTGATTCGCTGCACAAACAAGTCCTCATCCTACCTCCAATCAGTTTCTCTCTTGATTTTCTTTTTGCTTCAGATCTTCTTTTGCTGCCTAGAATTCATGTTCTAATTAAATGTTGCAATTTAAATCCATTACTTCCTTAAAACCGTCTTAAAATGTTCTTCTACACACCATTACCTCCACTGTGAGCATGTAGCCTGTGTGGGATCATATGACATTAAAGGAAAAGGAGGAACAAATCCGTCCGGGTTCTGCCTCCCCAACCTGTTTGTCTGGAGTTTCACAAAGCAATCAACTATTTTACAATTAAAAGTTTCACAGACAGACCGACTGACATGTTACGACCCGTAACTGGGTTGTCTTTGCGTTCATTCTTTCTTTAAATCTATATATTTTGGGGGGGGGAATGTTTTTTGTGTGGTTTTATCGGAACAAATCTCGAAGTACTAGGAATATCTTTACTTTTAAATTTGATTCATTTATAAAAGCTTGTTACTTATTTCCTTCTCAATAAATCTGTGGTAATTTCATTGCCTAAATTTGTTTTTTTTTATTTTGAAATGGTCAAAACATCTGCAAAGTATGGAAGACAAACTTAACATATAATTAGTGTATACATGTACCAGGAATTCAGCAAATACATAAACATTAACTGCAATTAAATTGTACTATGATACATAAAAGTTTATAACTACCCCATTTTCATTACAATATTTTTTTTATAAATATTTTTGCATGCTTTAATATTTTGACTCTTATGTATAGGTATTGATTTTTTTTTAAACTATTATTATTTTTCAACTCATTTGATTTTAACCCATGGGTGGTTCTAGATAGGGGCCAACAGGTGCCCGTAACCCCTATAGAACTGGTTCAGAGGTGTAGAGTTGTAGCCAGAAAATCCTAGTAGGGGTGGCCAGTCAATAACCAATGTACATTGAGGGGTGGTTGAAAGGCAGAACCTCAGGTTCAATCTACACTGTTCCAACAGGAACAAGTACAACATCCGTATTTTCTAAATAAAGACTATGTTTTCCTGCAGCCTTTGCTAACAAATAGGTGGATATATTTAAACATCTATGCTGTGTAAATAAAAGGTATAGTGGACAAAATTATATTAGGTTTGAGTTCTGGGGCAAACATATTTCATTACCTACTTTTATCAATAATCATTCTGCAAAAAAATGATATGTAAATCTACTAATATCCACATTTAATGAATGTTTAAGTTATTATTAAAGTAGTTATTCATCTCTGATTTCCCTGAAGACTCCTAGATGACTTGCAGAAGCACATAATTCTATCTTTACCCCAAATAATCCAAAAATTAGTTTTGAAAAGAGCAGAAATTCTGGATCTATCATCTTTAATGTTTGGATATTGATGTGCATAATTAACCACACTGTATCTATTGTCGTGCTTTTGTTAATATATGAAAAATTTTAATGTTTAATAAGTTTAAACATTCACCTTCTGGCTTCTCTAAAGTCTCCTTAGGTGTGAGTGTGTGTGTGAATGGTTGTTTGTCCTGTGTGTCTCTGTGTTGCCCTGCGATGGACTGGCGACCTGCCCAGGGTGTATCCCTCCTCTCGCCTGTAGACAGCTGGAGACACCAGCACCCCTCGTGACCCCACTTGGGATAAGCGTCTAAGAAAATGAATGGATGGATTCTCCTTCTACTGCTGCCACCGTCTGTATTAGAGAGAAAAATGGTAGGGGTGGCCACAGGGGTGGCCAGTGATTGGCTAAGGGTGGCCATGGCCACCCCCATCTAGCTCCGCCCCTGCTGAGGTGGGTTATAAGTTACAGCATTTCGAGTCAGCTGCAGCATGTTAATGAGAATGTTGTCTGGATGGAGGCAACAGGTAGTGCTTTTATTTTGATAAGTATTTTCAGATACCCAACACTTAAAATAGAAAATGTATTTTTTTTCCTGAAATCCCCTAAACTTAACTTACTCCCATGTTCAGTAGGCACTGACATCGCCATGATCTTTATTATGATACCACTACAAACTGATGAAACGAAAAAGGTCAATTTAACTCCCTATATATCTCAATTTCACTATGACAGAATTAAAGTTTATACGTATGCACAAGACTAAACAAAATAAAAAGTAGCAGTATTTTAAAACTTAGCAAAGCAGAAACGAAATATACTAAGATATAGTAAGTATAGTTATAAATAAAATACTGTGGTTAGAAATAAAAGAAGGGATATTTATGTCAAAAGTGAGAATTATTTTAATGAAGAAGAAGAACTAAAAAAAAGCAATCAGTTAGTAGAAATAAAAAAATGGCAGATAAAGATAAAGGCAATGGTGTACAAAACACACTGGATGAAAAGAAAATAAGAAACAGTTTTTTGATCAGATTAATAACCTGCGCAGCTAATTGCATGGCTGTACAAACTGATTTGGTCAGTTGAGATCAGGGAAAATGATCCAACAGTAGCTGGGAGGAAGGATCTGTGGAAAGGCTTCTTTGTGTATTTAAGGGGCAACAGTTTTGCTGTTGACATGACTACCTAAAGCCATGGTGTCAAATTTGTTTGTTTTGTCTTATCCAGCTAAACATTTTGTACATCTTCATCTTATGGTGTTGGAGATGAGAAAATAAGTTTATGTGAAATAAATGTAAAAAAAAAAAAAAAAAAAAAGGCTTTTTTACCACAAACATTTTGAGTCTGATGTTAAGCTGAAGGTTAAATAGCATTTTTCACCCTCCTCTTCCTCCTCACAGATCCTGTTGTCTCAATATAACTGAGCTCCCAGCCTGGAGCACCTCATTATGCCCTGATCCACTGGTTGGACAACCCTGGGCCTTGAACAGCCAGTGACCTTCAATCATCTGTTAGATACAGATAGGTGACTGCATGTGCTTGATCATCCTGTACGTTTAAAAGGGTTTCCAGAGGTCCTTAAAATTCTTAAAGGCTTTTAAATTTTGAAAAAAAAAAAAAAAAAAAAAAAAAAAAAAAAAAAAACAATTGAAGGCCTTGAAAAAATTTTAAATAGTCATAAAAATAATTTGTTTTCTATTTTTGAGAGTTGAAATTTCACACATTTGTACTGTCAATGTGTCATTTTCTGAGTGATAAAAGGGTCATAGAATGATTCTATAGGGTATTTGATGCTGCTCCTTAAGGTCTCTGAATAGGGTGTGTAACATTGGTTGGGCTGAAAATGGAATAGTTGCTGTTCTATAAGCCCTAATGCAATCCTAGAATGAAACGACGGGGTTTCTTCCTTTTATGGTATGCTCATGAATATTTAGATGAGCTGTGCGCTAATTGGTTGGTTTACGGGCGAAAGTGCTGAGGAAAGACGCATCATAGCAACAAGTACTCACTCAGTGAAACATCAAATTGTTGATATGGTAGGGTGACCAGACGTCCTCTTTTTCCCGGACATGTCCTCCTTTTCATACCTAAAAAAATGTCGGGGGGGAATTTAAAAATCATACGAGATTTTGGTCGACTACAGTGCAGCAGAACCGAGCCATCAGTTCCAGGGCTGGTCAGGGAACCCCGGCGGATGGGGGCAGGGTTGTCAGCAGGGACGGAGTGACCGAACCCGACCCAGTGATGGTAGCCTGGACACCGGCCGCCCCATGCTTCCCCCCTCCTGCCTTACCGGTCCCCAGCCCCCCTCCTCCAGCTGAGGACCGATGGCTCATGGCTCTATGCTGAGGTCCGGTCCAGTCAGCGGCCCAGCAGTAGACACTTCATACCCATCCCCCCGGGGCGTGACAAAAGTACAGGCCAGAACCAAATGAAGCAACATCTCCGAGTTGATGTCAACTCGGGGCTTCATTTGGATTCGCCTGTTTTGTGGTGGAAGTTTAGAATTGTGAGATTTGCAGAGAAAGGAGGTGTTGATGGGGTTTGAACTTCTCTGTACTTCCATTTCACACACTGAACTACAGTAAATTGTAAACTCGATTTTGCATTTTATGACCCCTTTAAACTCTGGATTCTAGTGTTTCCTGTATGTCGCTAAGGTGAGCGTAAAATAATGTGCATCGGTGCCTCCATCCTCTTGCAGGTGAACTGGTGAATTGCAAAATATGTTGAATTAGACATCAAGTTGGCAAATTATACCATGCCTGGAAAATATTTATTTCACAATGTGGCTGTCAAAGGATTATATAAAAAAAGAAAAAAACACAGATGGTGAAACTTGTCATTGTAGGTATAAATGTCGACCATTAGTATTATCTAATAATAATAATACATTTTATTTGAAAGCGCCTTATCAAAACACCCAAGGACACTGTACAGGCAGATAAAACATTAAAAGCAGGAAGCTAAAAAGTACAAGCATAAAGGTGCCACAGAAAACAAAACAGCAGGAAGTAAAATAAGGCCAAAGGAAGAAAAGGAAGAAAACAACATTGGAGTGATGCATATGAACTAGATGGGATAAGACTGTCTGAACAGGAAAGTTTTGAGTCTGGATTTGAAAAGAGGGAAGGAGTCCAGAGTACGGAGATCCGGAGGGAGGGAGTTCCAGAGGTGGGGAGCAGAGCGACTAAATGCCCGGTTCCCCATTGTGACAAGACGGGCCGAGGTAACGGAGAGCTGGAAGGTGTGGGAGGATTGCAGGGAGTGGGTGGGGGTTTTAAAGTGAAGGAGATCTGAGATGTAAGATGGAGCAAAGCTGTGGAGGGCCTTGAATGTAGTTAGGAGGAGTTTGAAGATGATTCTCTGTTTGATGGGGAGCCAGTGGAGTTGTTGCAGGATGGGAGTGATATGATGAGAAATGGGGGTCCGAGTGATCAGGCGTGCTGCAGTTTTGGAGGAGCTGTAGTTTCTGGAGGGACTTGTTTGGAAGGCCAAAAAGAAGTGAATTACAGTAATCGATGCGTGAAGTGATGAGACTGTGAACAAGAATGGCAGTAGTTTGGGGAGTGAGGGAGGGACGGAGACGAGAAATGTTACGCAGATGGAAGTAGGCAGACCGGGTGATGTTGTCAATGTGGGACTGGAAGGAGAGGGTGCTGTCGAGGACGACACCCAGACTCTTAACCTGAGGGGAGGGGAGGAAAGTTGAATCATTGATGGTAATCGAGAAGTTATTAGCTTTGGAGATAGTGTGAGGTGTGCCTACTAGGAGGACTTCGGTTTTAGAGCTGTTCAGTTTGAGGAAGTTGGATGAGAACCAAGAATGAATTTCTTGGAGACAGAGGGTGAGGGAGATTGGTGGGAGTGAGGCAGATGGTTG